CATGAGATAAGCCTCTGATACTGACCCAAAGCCTGTAGTCATTAGGTATTTTCTGCCCCAAGCGGAACTGTACTGAGAGCCGCGAGTCGGTCACTGGCAACTCGCGTCTCCATAAATGTATTTGATGATGGAAGCCACGGGTCACTGAAAAGGGCAGGACCCGTGTGGCCTTCCTCAGAGCGGCCCAGGCAGGGGTGTGTGGAGAGGGTCTGCTGAGCTGCCTGCCATGTTTACGCTTCCTTTGGGGAAGAGGAACACACAGACTTTCTCTACCTAAATGTTACTGTTGGAGCAGGAATTTAAAAACGAGTGAACTCAGCTCAAATGCTTCTGAAAAGTTTGGTGTGATTTCCGACCTTGTACCCTGGGGGGGAAAAATGTATTTGCAAAGTAAATAGGACTCTAGATTTTGTGTTCCGTCCCCACTTTGCATACGTGAGTGTGTATGTGTTTGTTTGCAGTAGAAAATGATGGGCAGAGGGAGCAGAGGCTGTTAAGAGTTCTGAACACTCGCCCTGCGCTTGTGTTGTATTTGTGTGTGTACGTGTGTGTGTCTGTAAAACCACATCTGTAGACGTGGATGTACCAGAACGTAGACACCCACGGACCGCAACGCCCCATCGAGTGTGCCCGAGAGGACCCTCTGAGATGCTGGGTGAGGATCGGAAACCCACCCCCCCAATCCAGCTCACCCACCCACCAGGTCACCTGCCCTTGGAAGACATGGCGCCTTCTGATTTGTCGTGGGCCAGGGAGGGTACACGGGTTGGGAGGGAGGACACTTTCTATTTCACACCAGCAGCAAAAATAGGCCAGTGTGTTTGGGGTTAGAACATTTGATAACCCCTTCTTTCTCTGGTTGCACACCTATTTTTAGCCCCTTGACTTCCCCCATGTTTGAAAGCTGATTGGCAGACCCCTGATGACCAATGTCTTTTCTTCTAACAGCACATTCAAATGGCCTCTCGGAAAAACTTGCATTGCATGAGACCTAAAGCCTGCTTATTTAACACCTGCCCTTTAACTCAGGAAACAGCATGTTTAATGTCGCCCCCGTGCCTAGAACTTTCACCAGGTACTAGATGCCTGGAATTTCACCAGAGCCCATTTGGGCTACTGGCCCAGGCTGGGATCCCAGGGGGTCACCATCTTAGTTAATAATTCCTCACTGCCCTCTCAGGACAGCAGTGAACAACACGCGTGTGCACACACACACACCCCAAAGGCAGAAATGTCACCCTCATATATTTCCACTGAAGGTACAGAAAGAGGAACCAAGAAATGTACGTTTGTCATGCTATTTGAGCTGAAGAGCATGAGAAATGCAAAACACACCCAAACCTAAATCAGTTCGCTTAAAACCAGGAGCACGAAAACATGGCCAACGTTACTTTTTACTGACTGTTCTCATTTTAGATGATGGAGGTGCTTTGTAGTTCAAATTTCCCCAGTAGCTTCACACCCAGACTCTCTAATACAGAGTCAGGAATTGGCACACGGACAGAAGAGACCTATTTAATTGCTGCTTTAGCCTCAGCAGGTGGTTTGCAGAATTGAGGTCCTCTCGTGTTTGTACATCCCTGGGCCTGGCGTTGTGAAACTGCCGTGGTCCGGGATGATGAGAGAATCTCTTCATCTGATTTAAAACATAAAGGTCAAGTCAAGGGTGCCTGGGTGGCTCAGTCGCTTAAGCGCCCGACTCTTGGTTTCGGCTCACGTCATGATCCCCCAGTTCGTGGGATCGAGCCCCACGTCGGGCTCACTGCTGTCCGCTCAGAGCCTGCTTCAGATCTTCTGTCCCCCCTCTCTCTGCCCCTCCCCTACTCATGCATGTTCTCTCTCTCTCTCAAACATAAATAAATATTAAGAAAACCATTTTTAAAGAAATACTAGCGGGGCGCCTGGGTGGCGCAGTCGGTTAAGCGTCCGACCTCAGCCAGGTCACGATCTCGCGCTCCGTGAGTTCGAGCCCCGCGTCGGGCTCTGGGCTGATGGCTCAGAGCCTGGAGCCTGCTTCCCATTCTGTGTCTCCCTTTCTCTGCCCCTTCCCCGTTCATGCTCTGTCTCTCTCTGTCCCCAAAATAAATAAACGTTGAAAAAAAAATTTAAAAAAAAAAAAAAAGAAATACTAGCATAGGGGTTAAGCTTTCATTTTAACCGCTAAACGTACACAAGGGAAATTAAATTGACTTCCAGACCATCACATTAACCTGTGGTATGATTCTGGGAAAGAAATTTCCTTTCAGCCTCGTTAAAGTTCCAAGGGCAAGGATAATTATTGCCTTTTTTTTTTTTTTTTTAATAACATATGGGTCATCAAAATCTGTCCCCAAGAGCCAGAGAGGTGTGGATACTTGGTGCCATGTTCTAGAAGCTCTGTCCACGCCACCAGTGCACATCTGTGTGGGTCATCTGCTTCCTGAGTGCTCTGGCCAACTGCGGTGCAGGCCCAGGTTGAGATTGTAGCCAACTTTGGCTGCTGGGCTTCCTGACCGGTTTACGTATAGTTACTGGAATGTTACATAAGGGCCCAGGAACAGAAACGGGCACACCCTACGCCTGCCCTGATTTATATTCCCGCAGGGCTCGTAGGTAAACAGGTGAGGAGCAGAGAGCCCTGGATCCACAGCATTCCCCGAGGAGAGCTGGGTAAGGCTTCTTAGAGGCAGTGACTTCCCCACTGAGGCCCTCAGAATGAGTTGGCCAGGCCAAAGAGACCAGAGTGAATGTGCCCAGCAGAGGCAGCTGGGGAACCAGGATACGGGACAGGAGCTGCTCGTGGTGAGGAGGCCGGAGGGCCGAGCAGGGGCCGGTCACACGGGGCCTCAGTGGCGGGGTTACAGAGTTCAGACATTGGCCTGAGGCTGGCTTTGAGCAGGGAGTGACCCGGCCGGACTCACACAGAGGACTAAAGCGTTTCTGTCGAGGGATGAGGTCACCTGGGCCCTCACGGAAGTGAGGGCTGGCCAAGCAGGGACCTGACTCCAACTTCACCAGGTAGGGGTTCACGTAGGCTGGGTCTTTCACGCCACCTGCCTAGTCAAGGGCCACACGCACCGCTCTTGCTTGTAAAAAGCTCTGAGAAGAGGTTTGGTGAAGGAAGGTTCCAGGAGATAGAAGTGAAAGCAGAAAAGGTACAGGGTGTGGCTTCGGCCCTGGAGGTGTTTACTGTCTGGCGGGCCTGACACGATAAACACATTAAACAGCGTAAAAATAAAGACCGAGCTCTAATCGGTACCAGCACGTGGTTTTGTACAAGGTGACCCTTGACGGTGGGCAGAGAGTGACGAGAACGCATCGCAGAGGAGTTGAGGGAAGGGGAGGAAAGGCATTCCAGGAGAGGGTCCAGGAGAAGCACAGCCGGTAACAAGGAACAACACCTTGGCAAAGCGGCTTGGCCTTGCTGAAAGGGGGTTTGAACCGAGTGGATGAGGGGTGAAAGTCAGGCCCTCCGAGCTGAGACTCTTGGATTTCAAGATAGAATCCAGAAGAATACATTCATTCCTATGTGACGCGATCCTAATTAGAACTTTCTCTCTAACTGCTCACCAGATACAGTTCCCTCCTTCCCTCCCTCCCTCCCTCCTTCCTTCCTTCCTCCCTTCCTTCCTTCCCTCCTTCCTTCCTTCCCTCCTTCCTTCCAGATCCTTATCTTCATAATTTGGTAATGTTTTTCCCTAAACATCTCATTTGGATTTCCTTAAAAACTGAGTTCCGCGAGTAGTAGTTTCACCTCCCTGGCTTTACTACAGTTTTGTTTAAATCTTTGCTTCTTTCCTGCTAGCGTGCTTTATTGTCAGGGTGAAGCTCTGTGGTCATCGACAGTGCGGGGAGAGCTTGGAGAACCGGCCCTGTGGGCTGCTGATGAACCTGACAGCAAGGATCTTGCTGACCAAGGACATCCTGTTCTTAATACCCTGATAATTTCCTTGTGTGAGCATGGCCCTTTCTCCAGCTCTGTTTTCTCATTTGAAGCACGGGGCTCATGACATCCGTGTAGCTCCGTGCAATTTAGTGGGGGTCTTAAAAAAGATTCCCCACACATTAGGGAACGTCAACACACATAGCTATGACAAAAATCTGGTTGAGATGTGATCACTGTTGATGGGGTTTTGGGGTGATGGCGGGGTTTGGAGCTTATGGCCAAGAAAGAATTCTTGAAGACACCTTTGGTGCAAAAAGGTGATTTTATTAAAGCGTGAGGACAGAACCTCAACCCTGGGGTTGCGTGGAATGACTGCTTATATACTGTGGGGTTGGGGGAGGTAAAGTCAAGGCTTCTCAAAGTGATTTCCGTATGCTAAAGAGGATTGACAGGTGACTGGAGGCCTAGCTGTTGTCAGCTAAGGTTGTTTCTCCATTTAGCAAAGCATAATCATTTCCTGGAGATTAGGCTGTTGATGAGATATCTATAAACTGATGGAGACGTGATCAGTTTAACCATTTGTTTTCTGTCCTTTCCTTTGTTCTTGGGCAGCCAGGAGTGCCTGAGAAATATCACACGCGTCCCACCGGAGTGTGTGTGGGGGTGGGGGGGTGGTGGTCGGGTGGAGGGGTTGTGCTAGCTTGTGCTTGGCCCTCAGCTTGCCTTATGGCCCTTTTCAACTCTCATTGGAGATTTGGGGTGGGGGCAGCTCTTTTAGAAAGGACTCAAAATAGCAGTTGTAATTTATCCACTGTATTTATTTGTTTATTTGAGAGACAAAGAGAGTGAGCAGGGGAGGGGCAGAGAGAGAGACAGAGAGAATCCCAAGCAGGCTCTGTCCTGTCAGCACAGAGCCCAACGCAGTGAGATCATGGCCCGAGTCGAAACCAGGAGTCGGACTCTTAACTGACTGAGCCTCTCAGGCGCCCGCCTACCCACTGTTTTCAAATTTTTGAAAGCTCAGAATAATAGACGGGAAAGGGTTTCAGGAACTCGTAAGTCTTTTTGGTTTTCCTGATGGTCCTCTGTGATAGGTTACCCTCAACGGAAAATGAGAGCCCTTTTCTGTTTGCAGATTGCAGAGGGAATGGCATACATCGAGAGGAAGAACTACATTCACCGAGATCTACGAGCAGCGAACGTTCTGGTCTCTGAGTCACTCATGTGCAAAATTGCGGATTTTGGGCTCGCTCGCGTGATCGAGGACAATGAGTACACAGCAAGGGAAGGTATGTTGTCCTCACCGCTTCAGCTGTCTTGCTGTTTCGTTTTATTTCGTTTCTCTCTCTCTCCCTTTCTCTCTCTCTCTTTTTTCTTTTACAAAGCAATTACAATAGTCATCATTTTAAAAAAAGAACTCCTGGGGCTCCTGGATGGCTCAGTTGGTTAAGCGTCCGACTTTGGCTCAGGTCATGATCTCGCGATCTGTGGGTTCAAGCCCCACGTCGGGCTCTGTGCTGACAGCTCAGAGCCTGGAGCTGCTTCGGATTCTGTGTG